CCCCCTAAAAGAAAAGCCTGTTGTACGCAAAGTTCAAAAGCCAGCATCTGCGGTGGTCTGGCGCCGTGTTAGTGTCAATGGCATGGCTAACTTAGACTTCTGAGAAAATACAAATTAAGGCTGAAAGGTACATACAGGTTTTGGAGAAAATATGCTGCCATCCAAGCAATGTCTTATTCATGGACACTCCTCCTTATTTCAGACAATGCCAAACCACATTCTGTACATTACAAGAGTGTGACTTGATAGCAAAAGACTGCAGGTAATAGACTGGCCAGGCTGCATTCCAGACCTGTCTCCCATTGAAAATGTGTGGTGCATGATGAAGTGTAAAATACGACAATGGGAAACGCCAGAATGTTGAACAGCTGAAACTGTACATCAAGGAAGAATGGGAAAGAATTCCACCTCCAAAGCCTCAATAATTTGTGTGTATCCTCAGTTCCAAGTCGTTAATGGAATATTGTTAAAAGAAAAACTGACGTAACTAGTGGTAAACATGACCCGGTCCCAGCTTTTTGGAAAGTGTTTCAGCCATAAATCTAAGTTAATGATTATTTGCTAAAACCAATAATGTTTATCACTTAGAACATTAAATATCTTGTATTTGTAGTGTATTCAATTTAATATAGGTTGAACCATGATTTTCAAATAATTGAACTCTTTTTGGGGGTGGGGGTTGTAATTTATTTGTTTTTTGACAAAGAAGTGCCAAATTAAGTGCCCTATGAGTCGACTTCATTCTAGACAGGACATCTTCATTGCTATTAATTAACTACATGATTTACTCATTGCTTGTACTTGTTGCATGCTTGAAGTCCAAGATGGCGCCCGAGTAGGCAGCCGTCGGCAAGTGCTCTTGTGAGCCTTGTTTTTTTTGTTGTTTTTCTGTTTGTTTTGTCACTTTGTGTTTGTTGTTACGTCGTGTGGACTTGATGTGGACTGTTTTCAGCATTTTTTGGCCTCGACATTCATCAAGGAGGAGACTCGGTGCTTGGTGGTTGCGCCTTCTCGGCAGCATGGGTATGCCAGCACTGTTTTTGATTGGGAGGAATGTCGGCGCCATTTGACTGTCGTTGCTGGACAGCTCCGGGGCGCTTGTGTCTTGCACCTGTAATGGGCAGCATTTTCACAGCCCCGCTTTGTTCAGCGGAGAGATCGGTGCTGTTGAACGGTCTGCGGCTGGATGGATGCAAGGCTTGAGGAGCCGACGATGAGAAGAAAGGAGCGTGAGCGCAGAGCGCCCTTGCGAATGTGGAACCGGGAGTCGCGGCTTGGAGTTGAAGCGGATTACGTGGGACAGGAGAAGTGAACTAATCTCTTTTTGTCAATGGACGCTACAGCTTCGTGTTTGCTTTCAAAACTTAGCTTGTAGCAGATGTGCACATTTTCAGCATGACGTCTCTGATCCACTGGTAAAAGGACACTTTGATCCTCTCCTCTTTCATCTATAACTGCTTCAGACAACAAAGTGTATGCAGGAAAGTGGTGAAGATTGCACGACTGTCTGTGTCCTGTGTTGTGTTGTGTTATTTTTGTTATTTTGACTTCAAGATGGCGCCGCGAGAGTGGCTGCCTTTCCAGCAGCTCCTATATTTTGTTGTTCTACTTCTTCCATTCATAACTTTGCTGCTGTGAATTTGGAATTTCTCCATTGCGAGACCAATAAAGGTTTCTTATCTTATCTTATCTTATCTTATCTTATACTCAAATATGAGAAGGAGAAGAACAATGAGAGACTGGAAATCTTTTGTACTCGCTGTAGGTGGCTGGTTTACTCCAGAAACATGCATACTGTCAGTGCGTATGTTGAGGTGGCTGCAGGTACAGCTCACCAAAACAACAAAGGCCCTAATGTAGTGGCCCACAGCAAAGCTCAGAGGCCTCCCCAGCAAACTCTGTACAGAGTGAGTGACTATTTATTGCAGACCATATAGTGCAAAAGAGCAGCCTTGCTCCTAGAAAATGTGACCCGGCTGTTCTGTCTGAGTGAATGGTTGAAAAAGAAATGAGGCTTGCATTCAACATAGCTTCTATGTCCTCTGTAGCCAACTAGAATTGATTACGTGATGTAATTTCAGCACTTTATTTTGTGATGGTGAACAATGTTTTTTTTAATGTTCTGCTGTACAGCACTGTAATAGATGGATGTGAATTTATTTATTTATTTTTTACTGAAGCAGAGGAAAAAGAAGCAAGCTCAGTGTTAAGTGCTTGGATTGCTCAGAAAAGCATTCTTTTTGGAATGTATTATTGTCAACACTTTATAGGGACTATATTTTATTGTATAATGTTATTTTCTCATTATTTGGTGAATGACAAAAGAAAATGGGACCATTCCTCCTGATGGTTGAGTTGCAAGCAGTACTTGGGACAAGTCTCAATTACAACACAAGGTCAATGATTTGAACTGTGTCTATTGAAGAAAACAAATATCTGAAGCCACTTTTTTCTTGTTGTTTACCAACCTTTTCATCTGCCACAATAACAAACTTCGTTTCAATAAAATAATACCAATGGTTGAGGGTATTTCTCTGCAATTTTTTCGGTGTTTAAAAATAGATTTATTAGATGAATTAATTACAATTAAAAATTAATCGCTCATTTTTTAAATCTCTTGATGGCACTTATATATAGAGAGATGAGAGGAGGATTTTTATATATATGTGTGTGTGTGTGTATATATATATATA